TAACCTGACTGAACTGGAAATGCGGCGAAAAATTGGAATGCAACAGGAAATGATGAGTGAGTGTGTGCGTGCGATAGAATGAATGAATGGTTGAGTGAATGCGGATATAAGTGCCTGGCGAGCGAAAAAAAAAACGAATATTAAGCGAATGAATTTTCTGTGCCAGCGAGTGCAGAGCAAACAAAAGAGTGTTGGAAGTCATAGAAGAAACAAAATTAAAAATACGAGTGAACGTAAGAAAAAGAATAAGAGGAAGCGAAGCGAAGTGAAGCGTGGCAAAACAAAAAAAGTCTCTTGTCGAATAGTAGTTGAAAGAAAGGCAGCTTGCTGAGCGGTGGGCGCGCGGGGCAGCGACTTGGCAAAAAGTAGCGAAATGAAGTTGAAAGGAATTTAATTTTGTTGCCACTTGTGTTGCGTGAGCGTGCAGCAGTCGCACACGCTGTAACCCCCCTTCGGCACAGCCGCTTCCAGCTGGGGTAGTCACAATGCGCACCGCCAATGGCAAAGTATGTAGCAGACATGCAAATGTCGCCGAAACGCGCAAGCCAGCGAGCGGACGCTGTATTTGCACTGCGTGCAAAATTGAAAAAGTATGCAAAAGAAAAATGAGAATGAAATGCAACAAATCAAATGAAAAGGGGAATAAATATTTTTTGAAATAAAAAAAAAGCAAACGAAAAAGCAAATAAAAGTTTGGTGGCATTTTTTTTAATACTACATCTTTTATTTTAAATCGGAAAGTAGTTGGCACATTGTCAGCATTGCAATATGAAGGCTACGAAATGCTTTCCTGATGGCGGATCAGTCATGCAGCGCGGCAGTGGGCGAGTGCGAATGCAAACGGTTAAGGGGAATGCGAAATGCAATAAAGAATTTAATCGACTTTCGGGCGCCAACAAAGTGGCAATCAGCTGCATTGGAAGAGGCACACACACACACACACAAACAACTAAATACTTTATATACCTATACATATATATGCATGCACATTAGACCGTATCAGAACAAAAAGGTAATTTCGAAAAAAATTAAAATTTTTCGTCATAATATGATGAGATATTATCTTCGGCATTTACAGCTAGTCGGTTGCTGAAGTATAACGCCATGCGATAATAAATAAAAATAAAAAAATAAAAATTTAAGTATATCGAGCGCTAACCGCCAAAACGATGTAAGCGAAATTTTCTTTTTGTTGCAGAAATGTCCATAGAGCAACCAAAAGTATTTCTGCATCAAAAAAAACGAAAAAAAACCGCTTACATTTTTTTGGCGGTTAGTGATCGATATATTCGCGAAACTATGTGCTAAATATAGTAAAACTGTGTTTTTAGTTTTTCACTCTGAAGACAGATTTTTTTTTTAAAGGACTTAGAAATTAAAAAAAATATGATGAATTTAAAAATTCAGGGAAATGTAGAATAACACTGTGGGTATAAAAAAAGAGGAAATCCTGTAGAATTAAAAAGTATTACATTTTTTGGTGTATAAGGACGGATGGGCATGAAAAATTTAATTTTAAAACTATGTCCTTCAACAACTTTAAAAATTTGCAATACATACCTATTTTCGTAAAAATTATGTATTAAGGACTAACATACACACGACAAAATCCTCGAATTTCGTCCTTCTAACTTTGTTAGCTTAAACAAATATTTTAATTAAATTCACATTTGCAATACTTATTCCCGTTTTTAAACCAACATACGTTAATTTTTTTTTAATTCTACTGAATTTTTTTAAATTTTTTTTTGTTTGTTGAATCATATTTTTTTCTTTATTTGGCCCAGAGTTTCGTGAGTATATTGATTGTTTTGTGTGTTTTGATTTTTTTTTTGTCTTTTTCGCACGGTGTAATATATCGATGTTCTTGTCTAAACCAGACAATGTTTGTTTGTTCCAAATTTCATTGACCGAAAGTACCTCGTTCTACTTAGTATTTACACACCAGATCTCAGTTTTACCACCGTAACGTTCCACCCTAATGCCAATAAAATAAAACTCATGAAACTTTTACTAAGGATGTATTACGATTCGCAGACAATTTAAATTTGTTTGTCGATTTTTCTAATTTTTTTACAAGTTTTTTCGTCATATCTTCAGCATATATAATATATCGAAGTTTTTGTCTCGATGTGAGTTCTTAACAACTTATCCTAACCTAACCACCCTAATGTCAGTAGATTATATTTCTCCAAATATCATCAAAATTTTGCTAAGGACGTATTTTGTATATTTCAGCAGAACTATTTAAAAAAAAAAAAAAAAGAAACTGTATTGCCGAAAAACGTCCTACGCCAAAAAAATAACAATTTTCGAAGTACGACGTACTTGTTTTGTTTGCTTTTAAGGTGGTACAGTCTAATGTGCATACCTACATACATATACACCATACAGACGAGCACTCTTCTGCTAGTTCAACAGTGCGTATGAGCAATGCGCTTTTGCTGCTGTTCATTGGCGCTTTCCGCTGCCTTGGCGGGTTATTATTTGCATATGGTGTTCGCTCCACTGCCGTCGCTGCTGCCACTACTTCTGCTGCACTTACCTCTGTTGCAATTGTTGCTGGTGTCTTTGGTGTTATAATTCATTTTGAATATTGAAAAGTCGTTATGGAAAATGCTTTTAAAGTTGCATACCTTTGCACGATTTTTGTAAAATTTATGCATATTAAAAACAAATAAGTTGAAAGAATGATAGAGCTCGAATGGGTTACGGCCTTATGTTTTAAAGAAATTAAATCTTTTTGTAAGCTAGTGACCTTTCTTTAGAGTTATGAAGATGTAAATCATTTGTAAAAAATTTATTATGTTAAGATTTTCTTGTTATTCAAAAATTAGTTGAAAAGGAGGCGTGAAATGGAAATAAAAAAAGGGTATTTCAACTACTGAATGCATCTGTTTTAAATCTAAATGATCTGAGAATAAATCATAGAAGTGCGTTGAGTATTAAAGAAGTGAGGTATTCATCTCTAAGCACGTCGTTGCCAAAAGTCTCATACCAGAATCCTTGCAAAGGCGCGGCAGAAGCACAGCCGTCTCATCATCTTTCAGGCAGGAAGGGAAAGGGGTTTCTCTTGTAGGCCGATCACTATTTACTTTTGATATTGAGGGAAATATGAATTTGAAGCCTCTCAGGCATTGCTGAGTCAAACATTCAATCAGCTTCTAACCGTGGCTTCGATGGGCGAAAGCGCGAGTCAGATGTCTTTCTTATTACCAGGTACTTCCGTGTGACCTGACACACAAAGTAAAGCAAATTTGTTATAATTTCCTGCGTAATTCAGCCAGGCACATAAACTTCTACCCCTCCACCAATTTACCTCTACGTAGCCCATGGGCTTGGGGGGGGTGGGGGGGGGTTGTAAATACTTCAACTTAAATACCGAGGCATATTTCCCAAGAGAGAGGAGTAACCTTTGATATAGACTGCAGATGCTGATACTGTGCCATCAGGAAATGGCTCTGCATTGTGTAAACCCCGGTATAGGAGTTAAACCAGCAGTCAGCCTCAGGGAACTCAACGTTGTGATAACTGTTTAACATTAACGTGTAGATCTCAGCCTTCAGCCATTTCCGTCTCACTCCACTCTATAGCATACCGGTGCTATTTTCTTTCAAGCCTAAATGCACAGCCTCAAGAGCCTTTTTGTGGACTAAATATGATAGTAAGTGACAGCAGGTTTTGAACTGCATAGAAAGCAGACCTCGTTGTTGTAGAAAAAGCTCTCGTACAGCGCACTGTGCTCGTCCTTTGATTTTGGATAAGAACATTTTTTAATTTGCCAGAATCGGACAAAACCCCCCTTCCGCAACCCCCAAGATATCCGCGGACATGTACTGCAGCTGTAAAAATATATATATATATGTAGGGAAAAATATAACCCTGTTTGTTTTTGTTTTGAAATAGAAAAATATTTAGAGGTCGCTCAAACCGCTCAAAGATATTTTATATGGGGAAAAACAAATTTTCGTAGATATGGTATAGAATTCTTGAAAATCAATATTTTTCGATCCGAAAACACTATTTTCCTTCAGGAGACTTCCAATCATAATGCCCAATTTTTTTGTTTTATAATTTTTTAATACTAACGATTTTTTACGAGTCCCCCAGTGCATTTTATATGGGTTTTGGAGAACCTATCAACAATTTTTTTATTAATGAAAAATGGTACAATAAACAATTGGGTATTGTTATTGGTAGTCTACTGAAGAGCACCAGAGTTTTCCGATCGAAAAATATTGATTTTTAAGTATTCTATGTCATCTCTACGAAAATTAATTTTTGCCCATATAAATTCCATGGAAAACTTTGAGCGCTTTGAGCACTCTCTAAATATTTTTTGGCTTCAAAATAAAAAGGGGGTATATATTTTTCGGCATAAAAGAATTCTAGGGGTGCAAGACTTGTAATTCCGACCTAGTGTACATACATATCGGCGCGCCCGTATGCCAGAAAAATGAAGGTTTTTTTTTTTTACGAGACTTAACTCCACTTTTATGCAATTGAAATTGAAAAATATATTTTGGTGGAATATCCAAAGGTTAATCAAGTCAACCCAATAACTCAAAACTCATAAATTTGCAGACTCTTGCTGCTGGCATAAGGGTATTTATATATATGATTGAGAATGAATTTTATGAAGTTTGTGGCTAAGTATCCTTTATAGCAATTATCCCGTCATGCAACTTTGTCCTTATGTGTGCCAGTCCGCAATATACTTGGCTGGTTTCTGGTATTATATATCTACAAGGTCCTTTTAAAGAATTATTATCCAACACCATGGGGCTTATTAAAGAAGCATTAAACAAAGGGATAGCTCATTAAGGGCCCAAGTTCACCAATGGCTCACTACACCTTGGAACAAAAAAAAAAAAAACTAACTAATATTTGTTCGTCGAGAAACAACTCTATAATATTTTCTATTTGGCCACCTAAATTTTTATAATTACTTTCGAAAGTATTTATGTTTATTCTTTCTCTGTTTTCTTATATCATTTCAGTGCGCGACCACTGCCATCGTCAACGCACAGAAGGCATAGATATTAAGGCTCGGAAAAAATTGATAATAGCAAGCGTACTATGCCTGGTATTCATGGTTTGTGAAATTATTGGTGAGTAAATAAATTATTTACGACAAAGCGAGCTAACGGGCCTTTAACCGCTGCTAATAATTCCACTCAACGCAAATAAAAAGTCGCCTCAAAACTTAGTTTTAGAAAGTAATGCAAACACTTCATATCGGTGGCTTTTGGTATACAATACATACATACATACATACATACATACATACATACATACATACATACATATAGAGGTATCCATTTATTTTTTAATTTTCTAGTTTCCTTTCAAGAACTCAATTTAATTGCAAATCGATGTTTGAGAAATAGTTAACTTTTTCCATTTAGTTTCAATTCATTACTTTTCTTCAGAAGAGTTCAAAATTTGGATTTGCTTCAAATTTCCCTTCGCTTCAAGAACTTAGCTACTTTTGTGTGCATATCGATCAAGAGTTTCCCCAGAAAGCAAGTATATGCATTTATATGAAATAAAGTAATATAAACTTTAATAAATTTTGCAAAACGCCAATTAGTGAATGCTGTGTTTGTTTGGCAACAAAATATTTACTTTAACTAATGCCCAGTAGGAAAAATCTGAACTACTGAGCTTGTTTAAACCGTCTTTGGCAATACGAGCTGAGAAACAAATACGAATACGATGAATAACCGTTATCAACAGGTATTGTTTTTGATATCGATAATAAAAATTGGCACATGCATAGCATTATCTAAATTAATATCGATAACAATATATTTACAATATGTGTATCGATAAAAATGTATACAAATATATACCAATATTTTCTGAGAAAATAGTAATAGCTGTAACGATATCAAATACCATTCCGATAAAGTTATCGATAGATTGTGTAATATATAAAACGATTATAAAATCGATAGGCACATCGGTAAAATCAGTCGGTGCCATTGCTTATATATGCCGATACAAAAATATCGATAAATATGCCAACAAAAAGAAATGTCAATAAATTGCTAACAACAAAATCGATATGTCGATAAAAATTCACTAATTTATGCAGAACATTTGCATATTCAAACGAAAAGATCGGTAACCAGAATTGTGTTCCAACTTACCTGATCGAAAAAGAAAGGCATACCCAAAACTGGCACTCCATGATATATAGACTCCTGTGCGCCAAAGAGTCCTCCGTGTGTGATAAAAACACGTACATTAGGGTGTGCTAATATATAATTTTAGATAGAGATATTAAAAAAACAAAACAAATCCAAAAGGAAAAACAAACAAATTTAAAAGACTGGTGCACCTTAAAAATTACGCAGACTCGTAGGTCAGCACAGAACTTAGTTAATTTGAGATGGGTAATCAAGTTTTAGAAAAGTAATTATATAATACATTCTTGTAGTTGCTTTTGTTGATTTTGCTCCTAATAGTGGCAGGAATAGAGTTCCACACTCTCATAGCATTGACAAAAAACAGCCTAGTAGAATTTTTATAGTTAAACTGAGGTACAATTAAATCATCAGAGTGTTCAGATTTAGGAAAGATTAATTTTTCATATGAGTAAAGTGGAGTCTTTGTAGATAACGGCCTGAAGAGCAATATGCAATTTCTAGCTTTTAAGTAGTCGGTTAACTCGCAGCCCAATAAGCTACATCTCCAAGCAGATATGTGGTCAAACTTTCGTAGTCCATAAACATAACGCGTAATATGATTGAATAAGGTATCAATTTTATGAGATGACCTAAATAGAATCAAGCTTGCTATAAACCATCTCAGAGTAAGTGATGATGGGAAGAACTAATTGACGAGCAAGTTTTTTTCTAATGGGCATAGGAGTATATGATGCGGAATGACAAAGATTTCTTAGGGTGCCATATATTTTGCACCCGATGGAGTTGATGTGGTCAGCACAGCTAAGGCTAGTATTTATAACAAAACCTAAATTAGTTATTTTTTCAACCAGCTTTAAAGGATTGTTATCAAGGCAAAGAGATGGAATGCTGCTAAAACTTATTCTAGTTTTGCAGACAGGCAGAACATACGATTTTAGGGGGTTGAGACGAAGCCCGTTATGCGCAGCCCACCGAGAGATGGAGCATAGGTCCTTGTTCAGATTACAACTAAGTCTGACCTGATCATTAATTTGTCCGGACAAATATATCTGGATGTTATCTGCATATGCGTTCATGTTTACATATTTACACGTAGAGAAAATATCATTTATAAAGGCACTAAATAATAGAGGACCTAAAATGGACCCCTGGGGAACACCACTCATCAGAGGTTTAAACTGCGCGGCTACCGAGCCAACCTTAACACGTTGAGTTCTACCCGTTAAGTAACGCGTCATTAGCGACAGTGCATTTTTACCAAAACCAAAATAATAAGAAAGCTTTGCACAAAGCAGTGAATGTTCAACGGAGTCAAATGCTTTTGAATAGTCAAGTAAACACAGCAGGGATATGTGACCTTTGTCGAAAGAAATTCGCGGGTAGTGGCTTCGGTGGGTATATATGCAAGCCACCAACATTAATTATGCTATCGATTGTGGGTACCGCCGGCGCTAAGGGTGTGTAGCTATTGATGGATATGGCAGAGAGATTTTTTTCCATCGCTGAAGCACTGGGGAATTTAACTGGGGAATAAATATGTTGAACACAAAGAATAGCTTTCATTAAAGGGTAATTTCAGTGTTTAAAAAATAGGATTTAAAATTCTTGACAAATGTCCAAAGTATTTCTCCACAAGCGCATCTACTTTTGGGAAGTAATCACATTCACGTTGTAGATCCATGCGCAGTGAATAGTAGGCATTATAGCAGCGTTCCCAAAAGTTCATGTGCTCAGTTAGTGGTAAAAACCCAGAAGGGACATACGACCAAGGCGAAATTATGCCAACCATCTGACTCATGTAGTTTTGTTGCGCATATTTATGTGGCAGAGCTGACGGCAGGTACTTTATAGATGTGAGCTAAGGCGAGAAAGGCTTCATGGTTTAACTGTTCTACTAGCAGCAAATCATAATTTCAGTCATTTTCATTATAAGTAACGGATTCATTTCCTTTTCATAAAGGGAATTTGTGACTGTGGACTGACCTTTAGGTGCATAGAGAGAGTAACAACAATATTTGAAACCCTTAAAGATTTCCCTTACCACTGAAAGCTTACCATGTTTCCTATAATTAAACTCCGGCTCAATGAGTATCTCTGTGTAGTTGCTGCCCAGTTTGAGTGACTCAAGTGTGCTAAGATGTGCTAGTTAGCTAAGAATTCGGAAACAGCTGGCAACCCTCCTAAAATATAGTTATGAAATTAACAAATCTCTTGCGCCTGATATTTTGATACCTAAATATTTAGTGTGCCTGATGAATTAAGTTAAATTTAATTTTTTAAATAAGTGACAACGCTCCTTAATACGGTTCAGAAATAAAGCCTGCTTAAACCCATTTCATTTGATACCCATAGTTTTAATAATTGCTTTAACTTATTAAATAATTTGAGTTTCTTCTTCTTCTTTTCTTCTTCTTTAATATTCTTAATATTCAAACCAAGCATATCTTACCGCCTTCTTTTCACGTCATATTATAATATTTCATTTAACTTATGCATACTTTAATTAAATTCTAATTTACAATAGGTGGCAACCCTATTCAAAATATTTTAAACCAAAACCTTGTTAAACTTTTTCGACTGACACACATATTGCGATACATATTTAAATTGTTTATCTAATTCCCTTAATATTCAAGCTGAATTAAATTTCCAAAACATATGGCAACCCTCTTAAATAAAGTTCAGAAAAAAGCATTTTTAACCTATGTCAAATTATACTCATACTTTAATAATTCATTTGACTTGTTAAATAATTTGAGTTTAATTTTCTAAACAGGTGGAAACCGTCTTTAATTGTTGTAAATGCTCAAACTAAATATTTTTTGATACTCCTTTGTTTGACGCAAATATTTCAATATATAATATAATTTAATTTAATACGACTTTTCAAACAGATGACAGTCCTGGTCAATTTATTTTTAAATCAAAACCGCGGGTAAACCTTTTTCGTCTGACATAAAGAAATTATCTAATACCCTTAATTCAAATTGAATTTAATTATAAAATCAGGTGGCAGCCCTTTTACATGTAGTAATTTGAATTAAATTTTTTTATCAGGTGGCAAAACTTTTTTACGTAAACTTCTGCAGTCTGCATAGAATGTCATTTTAACGTTGACTTCTACATCTGTAATGCTGTGCGTTGGGTAACCACTAACACGCAAAGCTCATTTAGCAGATTACTACCAAGTATGCATAACCGAGCCATTAGTCTGAATTTTCTCATTATAGCTTTTGACTTTCGAAGTTCTATAGTGCTTTGTCACCTTCCTATTAACCCTCCTTTGACCTTTGGGAAGAATTCTACCCAGCTTGGTTCGTTTTGTGTCCGTTTATTCTGAAATAACTTTTATGCTACGTTCTGGTTTTGTTAATGACAAGTCGCGACCTCTAAATGACCTTTAAAAAATCTATAAAAACACAATAATATTTCTCATGAAAACGAATAAAATTAGGGGGTAGGGTCTTGAAATTTCCAAAAAAAAAAGAAGCATTTTCGATGGGCATCCTAGTGTACATTGGTCTCAGGATCTTAGCTACACCTAGAAGACTTGCCTGCTAGACGATTGCACCACCATGTTTTTGTAGCTTTTGATGTGGTCACATCATTATGAGATCTCCATAGAAGTTTGGAGTCCAGATATAGACAAAAGTACATCAACACAGTGGAAGCGTTGATTGCAATCTTATTTAGAATTATATATGCTGACTTTTCAGTCAACTGAAAGTTGGTTTCACCAACTGTCTTCATGCATACCTATAACATTGTGCCGGTAACATCGGCAATGGTGTATAACTGGGAATTAGTGTTAACCAGAGATGGTGAAAATGACCCTATGACTCAGATAACACATTTAAATCGACCACAGATGACAATTCGACCATTTATAAGATTTATTTCTTTTTCAATAGTGCATCTTTTAGAACGAATTTTATGACTATTTTATTATGTATCGT